AAGTTTAAGTCGGGGGTGTCAGCAGATCAAAAAAACAAGCACCTGCATTATAATTGTCATTTTAAATCATGTAATGTCTCGGAGATGTCCTATGAACTTAATTCTTGAAGTTGTTGGGTAATTATTTCGTCATCATCATCTAGCTGTGGTAGCGATACACCATACACTTCCTCAACGTTCGAATCTTCACCCGAGCTGATAATGGTTATGTAAACGTGTGCATACTGCCTTAGTAAATATGCCTGCCATACACGCCCGCATGCCCCAGTTCTAGCGACTTATTCAAATATAAATTGTCAGCGCTGTCTGACTTTCAACATCCGCCGAAGTCTTGCTTTACAGTGTAATAGTCAACTACACCGAGGTCTTTCAAGGTCAATGTAACGGGCGAACTACGCGAGAAGACCTTGAACAAATATTATAATAATCAAACGCTTGTGAGAACTTCAAGACTTACATCAGATGGCCATCGTCGAACAAGTTTCTAACCATCTCTAGGAACGACGCTATCAGCTTATTTTTACATCGTATCGTTTGGGTAGGGGTAGACATATGATGAAAACGGATTGGTCATCCGAAATTATTGAGATGTATAAATCATTACAATGTTCAACTTTAAAGAGATTAGTGAGCTTCCACTACACCTTTCTGAATGTTTACTGATAGCCTTTATCAAGCTTATCATCATACTTGATGAAGAAGTCTCGCGCATACAAAAATCTATGCCTACACTTCTCTAGTGACTGGCGTAGCATACATTCGCATGCGTTTACTTGTGTGCAACTGACATGTCTTTCGCCACTTAGAACTTTAAGGTGATGAGGGATAACTGATCAACAGGACCAGCACCACACAGTGAACATGTGTTGGTAGCAAACTTTATCAAGATGCTTGCGAATTTCTCTTGAAGTTGCTGGATCAGCAGGGCGCCCCGCTAACACTGACCTCAACCGTATTTCGACGGTCCTCCTCGTTGTTGCGATCCCTCAACAGCGTCGGAATCGCGTCTTGAGACATTCTTGGCCGGTGGAAAGTCGTTACATACTTGTGTACTTAACACTGGTCTATGAGCAGTGTGCTCATTGAGGCAATTCCCTTATTTTTGACAACGATTGCACTTCTACAATCGTTGATACCCTGAAGTGCGGGTACGCTTGCTCTCCAAGTAAGAGAGGTCCATTGGTTCCGGACCTTCGTTTTCCTTTTGTCACGCAGGACAGTAGGTACTTGAACTAGTATGTGTATGTATCAACTGAAACCTTTCTGTTCCCTCAACCGCTTCATCTATCCATTCCGCTTTCAAGCGGAACAGGTGGGTCTTGACGGGACCTTCCGTAAACCCTGAATGAACACATTAATCTCTGTGTGCTCGTCTATCGGGTAGGCAGTAATGCAACTCATAAGATATCGGATGCACTGCGCTTAAGAGTGCACATCGTGTTTACCATGTTTAAGTTTCACAAGCTTAGCACGAGTTTGGAACTAGGCTTGTGGCGGCTAGAACATTCATCCAAGCCGGAAATTGATTGATTCAACGACTTGAGCGAATACGGAAATTACTGCTTGAGACTTAAGGCCCAAGTCTTTGCACGCCCTGTCAAGTTCTATTGATCAAATGCAATTTGCATTTGATCATCTTCGAAAGGACAAGCTCAATGGCGTCGTCTAGATCGACGAACCATTTAACTCGGAAGTCATCCACGTATACTCTAAAAAGGGATGTCTATCTTCAAGAAATTGGGTCGACGCGCGTGCGTCGGTACGGGAACATCAGCATGAGCCTGCTATTGCCTTAACAGCTAAGATTGTCGAGCATCAAGTTCTCTTGAGTGATCGGCCTGTTGAGAGCCTTGCTGGCAAGCAAGTCCACTTATTCGATCCGACGACAAGAGCGTTCTGGATGAACTTGGCTATTGCGGCATGTTGTTGGTCACTGTCAAGAGCGTCCAACATGACACTTATGGCGGTTTCGCCAACGGAAGATCACCTAATATATACCGCACTCTATTCGGTAGAACTTTAAAAGGGTAAAGCCTTCACGCTTGGCGTGAATGATTTACTCTTTATCCAATATATTGTGTTGGATAAAGTGTTAAACGGACCGCGGAGTGCTACCAGGTGTAATGTGGCACGCTTGTACCGATTACTGGCAAGACCTTGTTTGTTACTTATTACAAGGGTGCGTGCTTCCGAAAGTCACACACACGTGAACAAGAGAATCTCGAGGTAGAGAACATAGCTAAGGAAGCTCTGAGTAGGAAGAAATGTAGAATTTTGTATTTAGTATAGTTGTGTTTCTTTTGATCAATTCTTTTTGTCTTGCTTTAACTTTATTTAAGTACAATCTTCTATGTTGATTTACCACTTACCACCCATTGCGCGCGTCTAGCAGTGATTGGTGTTTAATTTGATTGATTAGAGGGTCCACATCAACCATTTAGTGGAGCAGCCAAAGAAATTACCCTCAAAGGTATATTTCATCAATCTTTTCTCAGCCAGATAATATTGCTGAATACTATCAAGTAAGATAATATTCACATTGTTGTAGATAAAGTATCGATGACATATAACGGACTCAACAGTTACAAATCTGATTGAACCAATCTAGTGTCAATGAGATGTAACGGGCTCACCCTGTTCCAGGTAGAGTGTCTATACTGTTATTAGCGCAATCGCCCGGTGCTCATTAGTGTTGTAATACCGTTGGCAATCTTTTCTAGTATGATCGTCTCGAGATAAAGTTGTACCCGTGCCGAGCACGCTTTGTAATTGTTATCGTGCATGCAGCCACAAATTATAGGTAGCCTTGTTCTTCGAAGTAGAATTTGAAAACAGCATTCGGATTGATTATCACAATTGTCATTCCATGTAAAACATACGTTTGTGCTTTTACTGGCCATTAGAGACCTCCATGCCGTCTACGAGTCCCATTTGCCGTGGTTGGGTTGGGCAAATTGATCAACGAAGGTTATGTCAAGCAGAAACATCAAGTTGCTTCCACCGATATTTTTGCTTGAGCTATATCCAATATGCCTCTTGCTGATGTGAAGCAAGTTGGCTGAGCAAAGATGCGCGGCTCGCGTATGATGTTCGCGACATCCAACATTAATTCACTTGCATATGCAGAGCGTCCAAGGCCTTCGTTGTACGGCGAGCACTGTTTCTCTAGCCAATAATGAGTTTTCGTATAATGTGCCATTGTGTAGGGCTGGAAAAGCTATGACTAGCCTCGTTCGTTGAGCAGAAACCTTCATCAAATCATCACACCACCACGATCATGTATACAGTGTACGCACATTACCGTGCGCAACTGATATGCGCATACGGCAATCGAAATAATGCGATGTGTGGAACGAGCATTATAGTTGCTCGGCCAAACATCTGGCGACGTATTCGCAAAACAGCACACTTGTCATATTGATGAACACTGAGACAAAACTACCACCGGAAAAGATGTGAGCGCTCTCCACTGTGCACTGACAGTTGCCTCTTAAGACTTTTTCCTGTTTGACCGAGCAGCCTTCCATCATCACCATTGCATGTAATGTGCCAGTCGCTGGACAGTAGCATACCGAGAGCAGCCAAACGACGTGTTCAACTAGGATCAAAGTATGTCTACGATATACGTAGACCTTCGTTCGAACGTTTCGTATAAGCATCGCGACAAGACGATGCTTACACGACGTCTTGCTTTTCCATTGCAAAAATTCAGCCGTCGTCTCTACGGAGGGATGTACTAACTCGATGTCTTAGCCTCGGGTGCGAAATAACACTTGTACGTACAGTCGGACCATTCAAGGTACAAGCTTGCGCATCTCGATCAATATTTGGATCTGCTTCGAAACGAGCAAAAGTGTGGCAAAATCGCTAGAAGTGACTGCAGTAGGTGTTGGAAACTGCAAGGATGCTTCTGTTCGAGAACAAAGTGGAATTTGTGCGAGAGCTTACATGCATCGCAGACTATCCGAGACGTACCACGAAATATTGATGGGGGATCCCCATACATGCACTGCAACCACATCGGTGTTGTTGTCATTACCTACACTGCGAAACATCGACCTTGTGCTAGTCTCACATTCATCACACGCCATTTTCCAGATGAAGGGTTGTCCGCAGCGTGAACAGAGACGACGCACTGCCAGATGTGTTGATCTACTTGTCTTTGCATCTCACATTATTGTCTGATTGCCGGTCGACGAAGACACCGGCGTTACAAACTGATACTTCTCCTCGATGTGCTGATGAAGTAATGAAGCGTCGCTGTGTCGCAACGTGTCGCATGGACAGGCTCTGATCGTATCATACGGGCTTTGTTGCCCGAGAAACGACCCGATGCTGCCGGTGGAAGCTGCAAGACAAAACTACCGTCAGTGCTTTGACAAAAGTCTGCGCTCCTGTCTGTGCCAAGCAAAGTAAAGCTGGATAGTGCGCACCTGTGAGTGGCGTGCCAAGCAGAAATCCGGGAGGACAATGTCCGAGACAGAGTTCTGCTCACTTTGGCATGGGGCAAGAGGGTACCGCTGCATTTGTGAGTCAAGTAAGGAGGATCATCGAAAGTCGAGCCCAACAAAGCTGCCAAAACTGCTCTGTTCATGAGCTAGAGAGCCCAGTGGGGTCTTTGAGTGCAGACTCGAATTCCATCGAGAGAACGACAAGAGAAACAAAATGGTGACTCGCTATGTTTTATCAAAGTGCTACGTCGAGTTGAGACTTCTTCATACAAGAAGATGCAGACTACGGTCATTCGTTCATCAGAGGTGCCAATTCGTGCGCTCAATGTTCGCGAGTACGTCCATTCTTCCTGTGGTCAGTACAATGTGACGGTAAAAGGTGTCAGTAGGTTTGTCTAATGTTCGAGCACGAAGAGAGATGTTGTACCTGTACGAATTTATACCCGGCGACAAGCGTCTACCTCTTTGCGCAAGATATCGACTCTCACGACCACGCGACCACAGCACTAACTAACGTCTTCATCCTGCCGAACAAAGTCCGACGGCAGCATGTACCATGGCACGCCTCAGGACCACGGGGACAAGGTGCGGCCTCCCTGTGCCTCCCTCCTCTTCTTCCTCGTCTCCTCCTCCTTCCTTTCTTTCTGACATTTGCTTTTTGTGCGCCTGCTGTATAGAAGCGACAGCGGCTGACCAATGAATTGTGGATGGAAGCTATCATGAACAAGAGCAAGACACCTGAGGGCTTCATGTCTGCATCCACCACCACATCCAGCGGCGTAACGACGCCCTCTACGTCTTCAGCTGTGAATGGGGAAGAACGGGTGGTTGCGGCACCCAGTTGGGAGGCACCGACGTCCCAGATGTCGATGGCGCAGCAGCAATTCGCGACGGGATATCAAGAGAGACCGACTGAGCGCTCTAACCGGTACCAGGGAAGAACACCGGAGATCTTTTCACAATCCGTGCAAGACATACCAATGGAAACAGCGTATCAAACGAGGATAGTGAGTACTCCGGTGGCTCCGGGATACGCAGCGAGAACTAATGTTGATGCGGGATACCACGGAAAACCCATCGACACTTCGATAACGTTTCCACGGCGATTAGTGCAACCAGCAACAACGAATTATCAAGGGGAAACGACGATGGACGGTGGCACAGTCTACCAACGGAGAACAGCAGATGAAGCTGTGGTGCAATATCAAGACAGAATGGGCGGCAGGGCTGCGTCCGAGTATGTAGGAAAGCCTGCAAATGAACCTGCTGGGCATCAAGGAAGAGCATCTGATGTATCCGTAGCTTATAAACCGGAGAAAGTCAGTCAAGACCTTACAGGTTATCAAAGTAAGACATTGGAGACCTCGACTGGCATGCTGCATCAGGAAAAAAGGACAGAAGCAAGGCTCGGCAAGCTGGCCGAGGGTTACAAGAAAGATCGGAAACTACCGCCGAGAGTGGAGGAGATGCTGAGAGAGCAGATGAATCTGGACGAATCTGTGCTGCATGATGCATTTGCGGTGGCAATGGATGATTTGATTTTGGAACAAGAAGCCAACTTTGTGGCAAAGGGAGTGTGCCACTTGTGTGTAAGCAAGGTATACTTGCCCGTCGTAAATTTTTGTCCACATGCAGACGAAAACCACTCGCTGTGTCGGGAACATCTGCGTAGTGTGTACAGGGTGCGTATGGAAGCGCTGTTCGTGGGCAAGAACCGATCTGCACCCAATCGTCGCTTGCTGCGCTGTTTGGTGTGTACGCGCGGATGTCCGTGCACCCAGTGCACAGCAGAAAAGGAGAAAGATGTCCAGAATTATAAGCGGTATCTTCTCGACACACTGCGTCGTTGCGGACATGGTCCAGAGAGTGCAGTGAAGGATCGCCAGGCGAGTGCCGCCAGTGCTTCACCAGCGCTCACGGGGCGATTGGCGTTTGGTCAAAGTGTGAGCAACAACGACGGCCGTCAATACGCTCAGTATGCGCCCACGCCCTTGCCAAAAGATTGTTTCTCTGTACAAGGCAACGGCCTTCCTGCTCGGGGTTCATTGATGGAGACAGCAAATGAAGCATGCAAACTAACGGAGACCCATCGGTCCGACCTGAATCGGTGCCAAGAACGTGAGCGATGCGATCGTGAAGGATACGTCTCCAATGCACAGCTCTCCAGCATGCCGACTTCCAGCATTTATGCCTCTAGTATGCAATTATCCAGTTTGCAAACTTCTGGCCTGTCAGCTTCCAGCACGCGAATTTCTAGCTTGCAGGTTTCCAGCATACATGCGCCACAAAGTGATTCGACTCAGCAGGTTTCTATGTCGAAACGAGCAGCTAGCAGTTTACCGTCTGATGTTCTCTCCATGACGGCTGACGGTGAGCAAAGTACTGATCGCCGGACTGCAGCTCGAGCCGCCCCGTCACGCATCCACCGAGGCTCGATGGAGTCGCCATCAGCAGCTACAGTTTTGAATTGTGCGGAGTCGGAGAAGTCTTTAGTTCAGCTTTTGAGCTCGTTGAATCAAGGAAGAGCCCCCGCAAACTCTGCGGCTGTTGACGTTTCGAGTAAGGACAGTGCTTACAGTCGGAACGTCTTACACTACGACACGAATGAAAAAGCAGCCGATGACGAAGCTGTTGGAGACGCTTCAGGTGAAGGCAGTAAGAAGACGGAAGCATCTTTGCGAGTTGATTCCGCCTGCGGCATCTCGGACAATCGCCACCAATCGGAACATTCATACCATGATGAACCCTCGACTAGCTCAATGGCTACGGTCAAGAGCTCGTCTCGTGATCGCGTGAAGAATGATGGTCGGTCCATCGAAGCGAGTAAATTAAGAAAGCGGAAGTCTGACGAGACCGACCGTGCGAACGGTGCAGGGCCACATGGCCAGTCAAACGTGGCATCCCGAGACTCGACTCGGGTCGCGTATCGTGATGATAGTAGTGCTCCAGGTCAACAACATAGTGCTGGCGAGCGTCAACACAAGACGGGGACGAGGCCATCGTTAAGGCTGGACGGCTGCGAGAAGGATAGCACTTCAAAGGCTGATTCGAACAAAAAGCACTCGTCACAGAAATCACCACCGCCTCCGCACCGTCGACCGGGGCGCCCGCGCAAAGCTTTAACTGATGCGAATGCTGCAGCACAAACAGAGAGAAGAGGGCAGCAAAACCGCAAAACCACCACTTCCATCAAAAGGGGAAGAGGCCGGCCCCCTAAGCGCGGCAAGCGAGCGAAAAGTGACGAAGATATGGAAGACGAGAATGGTAACGAAGAGCATGAAGAGGAGGAGAAAGATGAGGATGGCGCAGACAGCGAGTTAGACGCGAACTTAGACTATTGCGAGGTCTGTGAAGGCGCCGGCGATCTGGTCTGCTGCGACAAGTGCCCGCGTTCTTTCCACTTGAAGTGCCTGGACATGACTGAGACTGATCTCCCGGAAGGCGATTGGCAGTGCAGCGAGTGCAAGAAGCCGTCGCGATTTGACGCGTATTCCGTTATGGTGGCTTCAGAGAGAACTGTTCTGGACAAGTGTCTGAAGATTGTGCAGTGCTTAAAGTCGCATCCATTCTCAAAGCAGTTCCTGTCGCCTGTGGAAAACGTTCCGATGTATACGCGGGTAGTGAAGCAGCCGATGGATTTATCTAAGATCGAGAGCAAGCTGAAGAAGGGTGCTTACATCGTGGATAGCAACACTGTAGCGGATGGCGTCGAAGAGTTGGATGCTACGCATTTTGCCAACGATATTCGACTGATGTGGTCAAACTGCAAGACTTTTAATGACGACGGATCGGGTATCACTCGGGCGGCTGATATTCTGTCAGCTGGCTTTGAACGCCTGTACAAGGAATGCGTCGCACCACCATTGACTGCACAGGATGGATGTTGAGTGCAAGTTGATGAAGATGGTGAGGCACTATTGGCCATGACACGAAAGATTTGTCAGCCATCTGTGAAATTGATGTCCACGCAAAGTGCTAATGAAGATGACAACCCTGAGTGCGTGTGATCAGCTATCGTTACTTGGCCAAAGTTAAGCTTGCGATGCGGACGCGAAACCTCGAAGTAGTTCTAGCAGGAGGTTCAAGACCTGCGAACAAAGTGAAGTACTTTCGGTGCCAATAAGCCAACTCGTATAGCCTTGAAGAGCTCAATCTGTCTGCTGTCTATCTCTGACCTGTGTACTCGAAACTGGAGGCCAAAGCCGACGAAATGCATGTACTGAGCGTCAGGGCATCAATACCAAGCCGCTCGATGCATTTTTCGTCAAAGTTCAATCCTCTAAGCTGGAACAACTTCTTGATAGTGCGTCGGGCCATCACAACGCTCGACAGCCCGGCAGTGAAGGCAGCAGCTTCCTACCACATATTCGGGGGCTACTTTTTGCCAAAGAATGACATGAGCGATTTCATCCCAGAGCGATCCACGTTATCCAGCTTGCTTTTCTTCTTGACACTGGCAGCACCGATCGATGTTGGCCGCTTCGCTCCGTTCTCTGGTACCCGACGTCGATCGAACCGCTGGAATGTGTCAATCGGTCCAGCTTCAGCCTTTGCAACAGTCTTGACCTCTTTCTCCTTCTCTACCCTATTAGCACGAAGACAGCTTAGTACACCAAGAAGAGCCGATTGACAGAACGACGTACCCGAATTCGCTGCAGAGCACGTCAATCCATTCATCCGCGAGGTAGTTGCCCACCACATCAATCGCATGTCGATGGTGTCGAGCAACGTCTCCACCCTCGTCCTGTATCGTCTCTTCTTGCATCGTCTCGTCCAAAACACGGTGACTTAGTATATTCACCTGCTCGTTAAACGCTGCAGTCGTCGCAGCTTTCGCTGCGCTGTCTTGCTCCTGTTTCAGCAGCACCTTGGCCACTCTCTCCACTTTCGTCCGCAGCCACGGCATCACCTTGTTCTCCTCAATCTTCACAAAGAGGTTTTCCACCCCATCGTCGCCTTCGATGTCCTGCACGTCACAAATGCACTCGATCAATTCACGCAGCGTTGAGAGCTGCAGCAACCACGTGTTGCCCGCTGTCGCCAGCAGGTCATACACGGACGAAAACCTCGCACGCTGAGGCCACGCAGCATCCAGCAGTACGAAAAGTGCGTCCACAGGCGAAAAGACAGTTACTCCGCCGTCCTGCAGCACGGCGTTGCCCACGAACCAGCTGCGCGCGCCGTCCACGGGCCGTACGCGCTGGAGCTCCAGTAGGTTCCGCTTGTCCTTGTCCAAAGCGAATTGCCGCGTGCGTGTCACCAAACCGGTAGAGAGAGAGGTCCAGAGCACGATCGACAAGAGTGGAGTATCGGCTGCGTCTGGATGGAAGCGCTGTAGGTCAGCGCTTGACGGCAGCGCCGATGGCACGAGCGCGAGGACCTTGCGAGTCATTTGAAGCAAGTGGCTCTCTCGCTGTCTCAGCGGCGGTCGAGAGACAGCGAGCGAGTGAAATGTAGAGGTAATGTATTTGTAGAGGGATGCTGCTGCTGGATAAATTTACAGATACCATCTCGTCGTAGAGGTCGGAGCAGGATGGCGCGGTCGGGTTCGGGTGATTTGCGAGCCGATGGGTACTGGTCGCAGAAAAGTGGTGGACCAAATGAAAACGAAAGCAGCGGCTGCGTCAAAGACCCAGCGGTCCATCACGTCGTTCTTTAGCGGAGCCACAGTGTCAACGTCAGAGCAGTCGAAGCGCAAAGCTGCTGAGGCGGATGTCAACGTCGAGGAAGCCGCGAAGCCTGTGGCCGAGCTCGTGAAAAAACGCAAAGTCGACTTTGGTGGGGAAAAAGATGCGAAGACCGGTAGCAACGACGTGAAAGGAGGTGCGAACTGCGACGATAGCGATGTGAACGGCGATGAAAGAGATGTACTGGGCGATGCCCCAGGAGGTGCAAAGGACGATGAAGAAGGTGTGAATGGTGAACCAGACTGTTTGGATGATAAAAAGGAAGGTTTACACGACGAGAAAGAGATTGGGACAGCAGAAGAGCGGGACGACAGAGTGGCCGGCAAAAGCACGACAAAACGTACGTGGCTAGTTCTCGCTCGAGTGGCGACACTGTGCACAGCTGAAGAGTACTGAACGGTAATGTCCTTCGTTCTGAATGTGTTGTACAGCTGGCCGCCGTCGTCTTCGACAACAGGACGTCAAGGACGAGGACGAAGATAGCGACGTGGATGTGCCACTGAGTGTGGTGGATTCAAGGCGAGAGGTCGATGAGGTGATTGACATGACGACGTCACCAGCGGCTTCCGAAACAGTCAGAGCCTGTAAAAAGACATCGTTGACAACATCCATGAAGTCCGCGAAGGCGGAGAACAAAAAGGAAACGAATGAGAAGAAGGAGAAGAAGGAGAAGAAGGATAAAGAAGGGAAAGTGGAGACAAAGGCAAAAGAAGCAGTGGCGATGCTTCGTCCAGCGAAGAAAGAGACGCACGAGGTAGTGGATGATGATGACTCGCACGATGTTGGATCTGCGGAAGGAGCGAAAAAGGTTGGAGGAGCGAAGAAGACTGCAACGTCATCGAAGGCTGCTGTCCGTACTGCTGTCCCGAGCAAGACGTGCGATGTTGAAGTAGATGCAAGCACTGACAAGAAGAGCTTGGCGAATATGCATGGGGACGGTAAAGAAACGAAAGCAGAGAGCGGCAAATGGCGCGAGACTCCGTACTCTGCTTTAGCACATCTGTTTGCCAAGATCGAAGAGGTTTCCGGCCGTCTCGTTATCCAGGATCTGCTGACGGCATTCTTCCGCGATGTCATTAGCCATGCTCCGGATGATTTGCTGGCTTGCATTTATCTGTGCGTGTGCGTGAACCTGGCGCCGCCTTTCGAAAACCTAAAAATTGGTATTGGCGATGCCATTCTGATGAAAGCTATCGGCGAGGCCACAGGCGCCAATGCAAAGTTCATCAAGGAGATGTACCACAAGGAGGGCGATCTTGGTAAGGTTGCACAGAACGCGCGCTCAAAGCAGAAGACGCTGTCATTTGCGTCCCTCACACCGGCTACATCCAAAGGTAGCGGCCTCACCGTATCTTATGTGTACAACCAGTTCGTCAAGATTGCAAAAATGACTGGAAACAATTCTCAACAGCAAAAGTGCTCAATTATAAAGGGATTGCTGGTAAAGTGTGAGAAGGAAAAAAAGTCGCAAGGCGAGGATGGACAGTCTGCCGAAGGAGCCAAGTACATCATCCGTGGACTCCAGGGTAAGCTGCGTATCGGACTGGCCGAAAAGTCGATCTTGATGGGGTTGACGTACGCGTTCATGACGGGCAAGGATTACAAGGACAAAGACAAGCAGCAGGAGGCTCTAGCTTTTGTCAAGAAATCCTTTGCAGAATGTCCAAGCTACAACGCATTGGTGGCGGCGTTCTACGTTGTTCAGAAAGAGGTTCCTTCTGCTCTTTACCTTCGCGTGAAGGACTTTGCGCTGGTTGCCGACAAGTGTGTACTGACACCAGGCACGCCCGTGTCTCCCATGCTCGCTCGTCCAACCAAGGCGTATGCGATGGTGTTCGATCGCTTCGAAGGCAAGCCGTTCACATGCGAATACAAGTACGACGGTGAACGCGCACAGATACACATACTACCGAGCGGAAAGATGGCCATATTCTCGCGCAACTTCGAAAACTCTACAGAGCGATTCCCTGACGTCGAGTTGGCCGTTTCGATGGCTGCTAAGAAAGGCGTTGTCAAAAGCTGTATCGTTGACGCAGAGGTGGTTGCTGTTGATCGTGCTACGAACAAGCGTCTACCCTTCCAGATTCTAAGTACGCGTTCTCGCAAGGTACGTCATCAAGTGTGGTCGGTGTATGCCTTTCGATCACATGCATAACACATTTTCTTGTGTGTTGCGGTTGCAGAACGTAAAAGTGGAAGACATCAAGGTTCCTGTGTGTGTTTACGCATTTGACTTACTGTTTCTCAATGGCGAATCGCTCCTCGGCGCACCGCTGGCCAAACGCCGAGAGAAAATGCGCGAAATCTTTGGAGTTAGTCCCGGCACGTTTGAATTTGCTACGTCGTTCGATGTTAAAGATGGTGTTGATGCAAAAGACAACTCCGAGGCAATGGAAGAAGCTGTGGATAAGGTCCGCAATTTCCTGGAGGAGGCCGTGCGTGAAAATTGTGAAGGCTTGATGGTGAAGACTCTTGAAAAAGAAGCAACATACGAGCCTGCAAACCGTTCGCACAAATGGCTAAAACTGAAGAAGGACTATCTCGATGGCATCGGTGACTCAACCGATCTCGTTCCGATTGGTGCGTTCCATGGACGTGGCAAGCGCACTGGTGTGTACGGAGCGTATCTGCTGGCATGCTATGACCCGGACACTGACATGTACCAACCCATTACAAAGCTGGGCACGGGTTTGTCGGATGAAGTGCTCAAGAAGTTTTACGATCAGTTGAAGGAGAGGGTTGTGGACAAGCCTCCTAGCGACTATGCTATTAGCGACGGCTGTAAGCCTGACGTTTGGCTCGAAGCGAGCTGTGTGTGGGAAATTCTGGGCGCAGATCTATCCATTTCGCCGAAGTACACGGCAGCCATCGGCCTGGTTGCCAAGGACAAGGGCATATCACTACGCTTCCCTCGCTTCATCCGTGTTCGTGGTGACAAGGAGACGACTCAGGCGACAAACTCTTCGCAGGTAAAGCCAATGTCTACCACCGTGGCAGTATGCACGACCACGGTCGACTGACTGTTTTCCCTATCATTTGGTGTTGATTGCAGATCGCCGATTTGTACCGAGCCCAGGGTCTTACGAGCGTAACCAACGGTGACGAGGACGAAGACGATGATATGCTGATCTAGGTACTCCTTGGATTCGTCACGGACAATGCCAGCTGCAGAACGTAAAAGAGCTGTCACACCTGGCGTTTGAAGCTGTCACATGCTTTGTTGATACGATTGTTTCACGTGCGACCATGCGGCAGATCATTCCATCGCTAAAACGATTTCTAATCGTCTTGTGGAAGTTACAGTGCGAGATGATTGAATCTCTCGAGTGAGATCGACCGCTCTCTCCGCGGTGCGGGTCAAACAGCACGAAGCGCCAGCAACAGTTTGGGTGGGTCCAAAACTGAACGGGTTGATGTGGTGCGAGGCAGTTGACAAGCGCCTATCGTACGAAATGCAAGCTAAATGCCCGAAAATGCTTTTGGCAGGATGCTGCATGTAGCACACGAAAGTTGTAGCCAGCATCTACACTACCTCAATCGAATGTTGCGTTCCCGCGCTCAGACAGTGGCGTGCAAAGCGGTCGGATAAGCATCCGAAGCATCAGCATCAAGTCAAGCTCCACCCGCTCGCCCGAGCAAGACAGCAGGGGTTGGGCACACGGGGAGGTCGGACACTTCGTTGTTTTCCGTAGCAGATCATGAAACATGTGCACGATCTATTCGGGGCATAGTTGTTCGGCATAGTACAGCAGCCGCCAGCTTCGCCTACGGTAAAGGGATGCACAAGCTGTGCTCATTGGCAGCGGTAGGACTGTCTACACATGATCGAAGGAGCAGCTTGAGGCGCATCGGGAGGACACTTGCCGAGACGGTATAGTGTTGCACCAACAAATATAGCAATGTGCACGACGGGTGACACGTGTTGACTGTCCGCTTAATTTATTTATTTCGAGAGGAGATGAGGGTGTAGAGGTCTAATCGGGCACTCAGTTCCGCTCTTTGGGGACTCCGCGAGACGCTCGACGGTCCCCATTGACCAACAATGCTGCTGGAAATCGGACGCTTCGTGTGTTTAGCACTGACGGACGCAGCGATGCTGCCGGCGCTGGTCGTGATGCAGCGCAATCGGCGGCACTTTGAGCTGTTTATAGGCGTCTCGCAGCTCCTGATCTCGTTTTTCTTCAACGCCGCCGAGGCCTTCGATACGCCGCTGTTCCTCCTGGAAGACGAGTGGCATTTTCTCTCGGAGGTGGTGTCCATCGCCTACTTTCTGCTGCTCTGCGTCCACCTGATGGGGTACAAAGACGAGAACCGGAACATTGTGCTGCGCTACGTGGCCTTTGCTGGCTCGTGGCTCTTTAAGACCAAGGACAGGTCGGACGCAACGTTCTACGAAGGGTTTTTCGTGATCTGCTACCTGCTGGGCGTTGGCTTTCGTCGACTGTTTGCTGCGAGCAATGACATCGCCCCTCTGAACAAGCAAAAAGCCAAGTACGCGCTCTACAGTCTTGGAGCAGCGGCGGTTGCGGGCGTTTGTGTCTTCTACTACGAAGACGAAGAGAACCACACCGCGTTGGGGGTTGTCGAGGGCTTGATGCACATGCTGGATGGCGCTGCGTTCTATTTCGCGTGGCTCTCGGTGCCGTGCATGGACTCGAAGAAAGGTGGGGTCATCCCGACGCACAATCTGTACGTGTAGGGGGCAAGTACGCAGGTAGGCGCTTAGAAGAATCTTTGACATTCCATAAACCAATTTATGTAATAGTAAAGCGATAAAACTATTGCGAAAACGGGGTGCGCCCATTCATTACACGACACTTTGTAGGGTCATAACAGACACGTACCGCGTGCAGTATTTGTGGAATTACAGCTAACGTCTGTGACAAGGTACGAACTTAATCATAAAATGTGAAGTCCATTTTTTCATTTTAGGAGGGCGGGTGCCCCCCTAGCAAAAGTAGGGTGTGCCCCTAGTCGTGGCCTTCCCATATTTACCTTACTGCGTAAATATTGAAGGATTGCTACCTTCGTGGGTAATATTCTAAACAAATCTGTTTATTAGGTGGATACAGCTATTCTATCAAACGACTTGCCCACCAATCGCTGCGGGATGCGCGCAGTGGATAGTGAGCTAGTGGCCACATTCAACGTTCGTAGTTTAAGACAGCTTGTAACGGGGTTACACGTCGGCTGGTAGTCGACGATAGGTGTGGTGCACCCTATAAAGTAATTTTAGAACACAGTGAGTGTATCAATTGTTGAAGACTGATGTCTCTCATCAATTGATTACGAGACCTTTCAAGAGGTTAATTAGGGCAGGTTAAAAACGTTGTTCTAAGGTGTTCTTTTAGATTTAATAAAGAAATAAAAATTCAGTTCCCCTTTTGATCACTAAAAGACACGTGCCTTACGAGGCGTCTTTGATCGGTAGGAGCTAGCAATACCTGTGAAGGTAGCTGCTCCTGAGCACTCTGTGCTGTGATTCTTTTGAATCTTTGGTCCCTTAGGAACGGGAACCGTAAGCTCTCTGAGCTTGTTGACTCTCTGAGTCGGGTTCTATGAACCAAAACCTTAGCTCTCTGAGCTGTTGACTCTCTGAGTCGGGTTCGTAGAAGCAAAGTTGCTCGTAAGAGCGTTAAGTCTTCCTCTGACTTAAGAGATGTGTAGCTCCGCTACACAGCTGAAGTGAAACCGAAGGGATAAGTAAATTTGCGATTATATTTCCACTTTTTCTAATTTCTTAAGTGCTCAATCAAAAGACACACCGTTTCCTCTGCATGTACCGTGTACGCGAGGTTTTAGGGCCTCTTCTTACACTGTGTCAGTGTAGGTAGCTTGTGTGGTGGAGTGGGTCGCCAAAATCGATTGGCGTGACTCCAAACCGCCCACTGTGCCGGACTGCCGACTTGAGGAGGGGGTTCTCCTATTCCGCTTGGATCTTAAACTCACCTTGTCTACCCGTCGGCTTGGCGGGTATCACTCTTCGGAGGACGTGGCGATGGAGTAAGATGTCGGTCTTGGTGTGTGTCGACCTTGGGAGCCCCGAGCGGATATGCTTCAGTCGGGGTCCAGTTAGGGCAGCCACTCGGTCAACTTGGTTGAGAGTGGACTTATAACCAGAGTTCTCAGGGCTAGTAGCGCCTGGCCTTTGCTTGTCTCAGGGGTGTTAACCGCCTGGCCTTTATGTGTCTCAGGGGTGTTCACCGCCTGGCCTTTATGTATCCTCTCCCTTACCACTAGGGTATGGAGACCGCTTCCTATAGCGGGATTGAGTTGGGGGGGGGTGCTACTCCACGAACCTACAGGCCAATATACTTCCTGGGGTTCTATTTGCACTTGAGTCTTACCAGCACTGTCTATTCAACGGGTGGGCAAAATAGATCCCTGGCCCGGAACAGGTTGGTAGACTTACAAGCTTCTTGGCTCACGAGACGTGTGGCTTAGATATTAAATTACGTAGTCTTTAATAACGTTTGGTCCTTTAATTTCCTTTACTCTGTACTTGCCTTACACCTGGACTCACTATGATGAGTGGTCAGGGACGCTTGATCTTGATAGTCCGGGTCGGCCGATGGATGACCGGGTCGGCCCTTGGGTGACCGATGTCGCCTTGATCGGCCGTGCCCACCAAAGGGTGACCAGGTCGGCCGATGGGTGACAGAGACCGCCTTGGTTGACCGAGGCCGCCTTGGTCGGCCGTACCTACCGACGAGTGGCCCGGTCGACCGACGAGTGGTTGAGAACGATCCGCATTGGTGCCGCTCTCAACGGCTGGAACCCAACGGCCGCTTCTCCTCTGTGGCCCCTTGGCCTCCAGTCCCTTTCCGATCGCGAGGCCCCTGTCTCTCCGGTCCATCCCTCCTTGAGTCAACCCTTTCCAGAAAGTTCGCTTTACCACACTTGTACTGTGTCAGTAAAAGCGGTGGGTGTCCAATTCACCTGGCAGCACTTGCTAGTTCACCCAAGGGCCACACATGTGGCCAAGAGATCACCTTTTTCAACGATAGAACGGATCGCCAATTAGGCCAAGTATAAATAATATTGGGTTGGTGGGAATCAAAACTGTGGTGGAGCAGCGATCACAAGTTTTTTGTGATCCCGATTATTAACTGGCGCCCAGACATCCGACTGCCGGTGGGGGTCTCCGTTTCCGTGCTTTTATCCTTCCCCACGTCGTGTATCCGTCGGTAAGACGGGTTGTACTTTTTCAGGTGGGACCGCGTCGATGGAAAACTAGACCGTGTTTGTGATGAGGTCGGGGGGTGGACGTAAGAAATTCGTCACACGATCAAGGGTAATTGGAGGGTGCTCAACATGAGCCGAACTGATTTCGACGAGACCTCCTAGTCCAATATATAGAAAATTATTCCGCTCGGCCTGCTTATTGTGGTAACCGATCACAAGCATTTACCGTAAAAATCGGGATTGGAAGCGCACAGATCGACCGGATCAGTTAAAACCAAATTTTAACTTATTGGTGAATACGAGCTGGGACGGGTGGATCCTGATCGAGTGCCCGAACTCAGCAGATCGCGAGATTGTTGGTGGCTAACTCGAAAAAAGGTTTGCACCAAGACCGATTGCGCAATCGAAGATGGATTTTAACAAAGGTCGCGATCTCAGCACGAGATTGCGATCCCAACACGAAATCGGGATCCTAGAGCCAGCTGTACATCAATAGGATGTGAATCCCGTCAAGGTTAAAGATAGAGCATTCTTGGTGTAGGCCACATAGGTTCAAGGGGACGACCTTCGAAAAGGGAGACGCGTGGCCTCGGATGTTCGAGATACATATATGCCTAGTGATATGCTAATTTTGGGTTCTATTGGTTAACATACAACATGTTTCAGTTTGCTTTGAAGTAAACGTGTCGACTTCTCCTCGGGGATGAATTATTGGTCCTCCGACGTCAAGGAAAGTTGCATGCTTCAATTTTGTGATACCCCTGAATTGTTTGGCGAGGGATCAAAACTTTCAACGCATCCCTCATACTGCGAATAGACGCAGCAAACAGCAAGCAATTAAAGGAAAGGGTGCAAGATCGCGAGACGGCTCAAGTGGTAAGAAGGCGCGCAAATCAAGCATCAACGTTGGGAAAGGCGATCCGTACCCAATAAGAGCATCTAATATAGAGATCCACCCACAATATACTCAATCGTGCACAGATATTCAGTCGATATCCCCAATCCTAACTACGGTCAATTTCGGCATCGACTCGAGTCCACCTGAAAGAGAGCGACCCACCGTACTGACGGGTACACAAGGTGATCGAAGTTTACAGAACGAAATTGGAGTACCTCCTACGTTAGTAGGTCATCTGGGAGCCAGTGAAAAGTCGGGGATACAAGAAGCCTGAGATCTCCACTTCTTCACAGAAATATCCGATACGTACTAAAAAAGGAGCGAAGACGTGTCCCGAAATCGTGTCAGGCTTTAAAGTCGATGAGAGCGGTTTGCAGTTTATCTGCCTGATTGTGAATAACAGTCCGGAGAGCGCGATAATTTAGCATGTCTGGTTATGCTAGAGACGCTACAGTACGCTTCTTGCTCCCTTACCAATTTGTATAAACATAGTTTATCGAGGGATTGGCAATACTTATTAGTATATCGATTACGATTCCACTAGAGCTGGCTATATCAAAGTATACAACTCTATTGTGATAAAACGCACTGACTGTAACCGTAAAGAATTATCCTACGTTCTATGAAAAAAGCACTGACTGTGATATAGTAAAACTGTTCGCTGCATTGTAAGAAAAATGCATGGCAATTTGAAAAATAAAAACCGGAACAAATCATTGTCGTGTAGTACATCTCCTCGCTACCCATGACATTCAAGTTCATAATAGAGCTAAGCACTCGAGCCGATTTATAATCAAGCGAAGTCTAGCACATCTATGTCACGTTTAAAAAACGCATAGAACTACGAATAATGTTATTTTTTGCTGTTTCAATGCAAAGGACGTTATGTACACGATCGACAACAATAATCTAAAACTTTATTTCCTTCAAACATTCTATCTAATTGTGGGCCAAGACAACGTGATATGATGGCGTACCGATCACAAGTGTGCGATCTACGAACGTAGATCGCATTATGAAATAATAATCGTTCGCTGTACCGGTATATCGTTGGTATCTTCATACTTACTTAGGTATATAATGCGGAGTATTTTATCGTTGCGATCAATACTGATTAAGAACGGATTTGAGGAGATACAAAAATACGATTAGTTCATAAATGGATTCCGCGATTTACGATGGACGCAAATATATTAATAAGAAGCATGAATCACGGGATCTCATTTAAAGAAAGTGTTAATAATATAGCTAGAGACGAAATTAGCTCCTTCGAGCTTTTGGTAATTACAAAGAGGTTTTGCGATTTATAAACCGTCATTCGACACAATTACACGCTGGAATTTGACGAAGTCGAAGCAGGCACAAAATTATTTCTGTATCATGATAGTTGATTTGAAATAAGCGAGAAAAAATACAAATGTGGCAGGTAAATTTTAAGCTGTGAAAATATGCGGTGACCACGCTTACAACTGATGGTAGCGAGCATTCTAAATAGAATATGTATACGATCGTGCATTTGTCGAGGTCAAGACCAATTTGTTTTACCTACTAATCAATAATTGATAGATGGCGCAAAAAATATCCTGAACAATATTAATGAAGCATTACGGCCAGAA